ATTATACTAGCATCTGGATATTGCTAATCTTCCAATTATTCTCAGTCTCCTTTATCACCTTTTATAACCAGTTCCCTCCATTAAATTCCCTCTCCTGTGAATATGACGAGTAATTTCTGAGTCACTGGTTGAATCCTGACACACAATCGCTTTTCTCTCTCCAGGCCTCTAAATCATAACAATAGGTTCAGTTCTTTAGCACAGTTTGTACTGTCTGACATAAACACGTGAAAAAAGGCATCTTTAAAGAGAAATTCTAGTTTAAGGAATGGGGTGTTGTCACCTGCCAGCCCTTCCCTCTGTGCTGAAACCCCAAAGCTACTCTTTCTCTTCACTCTGTGAAGTAACCTGGGGTTGCGTGCTGGCACCCCAGAGAGACTGGCAAGGCCGTCTCCAAGCTAGCAAGAGCCAGTGTGACTCAGAATGGGAGCTCGGCTCTTCTGGACTATAATACAGCAATAATTATGAATTGGACTCTCCGAGGATCCTCTGACTTTTGATTGGTTTTTTTGGGGTTTTTTTTTTTTTGTTTTTTTTTTTTTTTGTCTTTTTTCCTTTTTATCGGTACCAGGGATCGGACTCACGACCGCCTGCTTGCAAGGCAGGTACTTATGCCGCTGAGCTAAATCCCCAGCCCCGATCCTCTGACTTTTAAAGTCAGCTAGTTTTTGTTAGACGTCCATGATCTACGTTTACAGCTGGCTGCCTCTTAAAGAAAAGAGAACAGTAAAATTGCTTGTAGCTCCATAGTCCAAATGCATTTTCTTTGAACACTTTGTTGTACGTCCATTTTAGAGTGTTTTTTTTATAAATATGTAATGGTCCTTTAATTTCAATAGTATCACATAGTACATGTTGATTTTGAGTCTGATTTGATCCATGTCGCATCTTGTGTACCTTTTTCTGAAATCTACTAAAACCTTTGTTGGTTTGGTTTCTTTGGGGGGCATACTGGGGATCAAACTCAGTATCTTGTGCTTCTTCATTATCTTTTTAAATGACACATAGTGTTCTAGAAGATATAGAATATCAACATTTGATAGTTTCCAATGTTTCCCTGGGAGAAAAAGCAACATTCTGATGAACATCCTCCCTGTGCAAAGCTTTACTGTTGTCTTCAATATAAATTCCTAGAGTGAAATTTCTTGAGCAGAAGATATGTATATTTCAATACTGCACCAGTCGGGTTTCCATTACTGTAACAAATACCAAAGATAATTAACTTATAAAGAGAAAGGACTCATTTTGGCCCACAGGTGCCAGGCTGTGATCAGGCACATCTATTGCTTTCTTGGTGAAAGTGAGTGTGAATCAAACCTGCTCACCCCATGGCCAGGCGGTGAGGGAGAGTTAAGGGCAGGGAGCCCCACAAGCAGTTCGAGGGCACAGCCCCCAGTGACCTAAGGACTCTGACTTGTCCCCTCCTTTTTAAGTTCCTGCTGCCTCCCCAAAGCGCCAAGTGGGTCTAAATCTTTTACACATGGGCCTTGGGGGACATTTAAGTTCTAAACTATGGCAAATACACAAGTAAGTATGTCGAATAGGCTACAGAGAGGTGTTTTGGGTTTTGTTGTTTCTTATGTGGACTCTTAGTTTTAGTGGGGAACAAACACCAAAGCTAATAAATAATAACAATAACAAATAAGACTAAAGTATGTAATTTCAGGGGTGCAAGGATTTGGCTATGTTCATCTTGGTATCTCACATAATATCAACCTAGTACAGTGCAATAAATGTTGGATTTGGGGAAAAAAATTCACAATAGCATATTCAACTTCCAGGAAAGATTTTCATGAAATGGGGCAGGTCAAGTGGCATCATGCTTTGCTCAATGGTTCTCAGTCTTGACTGGGCATTAGAGTTGCCCAGGGAGTTGGCATAGGAGCTTAGACCTCATACGAGGCCAATTATAAGAGCACCTTGGAAAGAAGTTGATGCTCAGGCTTTGGCTCATTTTGAAAGATTCTCGAAGGATTCTCATGAAATCCTGGCTGAGGAACTGATAATGCTCCAAAATGACAGATAACAAAGAAGAGGTTCTGATGCTTTTCCTCAGTCCTCGTGGAGACTGTAGACTTCAAGAAGTGAGTAAGTCTCGCCAATGTGCGGATTATGAGGACCCCCAGCAGGATTTCATGCCATTTAGTCCGAGAGAGCCGGTTTAGTATCTTCCAATGCAGGGTGTTTTCCTCTGCTCCCAAAGTGCCAAACTTGCAAGAAAACCCTATCTTTTTGTCATCCTTAAATGGAAGCCGGGACAGCAGATGGCAGGAAACAGATTGTGTCTGCTCAAGTCGGAGCTGCTTTTCTCTGCAAGGCACAACACTCATACCAACTGTGGGGACAGGACGATGTGATTTATTCCAAAAGGACCTGGAGATGTTCAGACTCTGTCTTTGCTCAATACCATGAGACCTTCTTGCCTATCCCAAGGACTCTTTGAATGGACACTGACAGAAACTTGGTGGGGATTTGCAAGAGGCTGCTCTTGTTCTCAGGGACTGTCAGAAAATCTGCCAATGCCCAACTCACAAGTCTGGATTTCACAGCAGTTAAGGTTCCCACCAGCATTCTGACCAGCAGATGCATTTGTATTTATTTTTTACCGTTTGCATTTTTATTAGATACTCCTGCATGTGCTCTCAAAACTATAGCATGACATTTTGGAATGAAAATGCAATAGGTACAGCCCATTCATTCCTGGAAGAAGCAGACCCAGCCCAAGGCCCCGGAACCCCTCTCAGGCTCAGCCCTGTGGAATCCTGAGCCAACCATCAATGGGAATTTGATGCTGCCAAAATTGCTTCTGGCTCCTGGCAAGGCTGCTTCCAGAAAATCCCCAGCACCGTGAGAAAGAAAGGGAGAGAAAGAACCCAGCCAAACAGAGCAAGAAGGCTGAGACACTAGCCACTCATTTTCTCTCCTTTGAAAGAGGAAAAGACCTCAGTAAAGCCACCAGTGCCCTGCTGCCACCCAGGAATGCCAAATGACACTCGGAGAAGGGCCTGTGATGTAAAACGGGCATGCAAATCTTCTGGTTCAGAATCTCAAATTCACAGGTGAGAAAAAAGAGGAATGTTATTTGCACAACAGTGCAAAATAAATCATTTTGCATTTACAGTTCAGGACTTTTACAATTCAGGACTTCAGTGTTCAGATCCATCAGTTGTGCAAGCCCAGAAGTTTTCAACATGGGCTTCCCATTAGAATTTCCCAGGCAGCTATCAAAAACTAACCCCTGTCCAGCCCCACCCTAGAGATTCTGGTTGAGCTGGTCTGGAGTGTTTTCGCAGATGATCAGGTGCTCATCGTGTGCAGCCAGGCCTGGGAGCCCCGGCACTGCCAGACAAAGCTTGACTCAGAGTCTGTTCTATTTCACTCCGTAATGAGCTGAGCCCCATGCTAAGGGCTGGAGCTGTGAAAATGAGTCATCTCACTTCTTGCCCCAAAGCTGCTCAGCATCTGGCAGAAGCACATACTATTTAGAGTTCATTACAACAGCAGGGTGATAGAGTGACAATATAAATAATAATAATAATAGCAGTGATTGTAGAGGAGGGTTGATGGAGGTGATATTAGAGTCCACATTTAAAGGACAAATAGGAGTCAGCTGAGCGGACTGGGTGCAGAAGGCTTTCCAGGGAGAGGGAAGAGCACATGCAAAGGCCCGAGGCTTAAAGTGTCAAGACCCGAAACGGTGCGAGGAGAGGAAGCGGGTACTCAGGAGGTGGGCAAAGACAGGACGGCACATCTGTCTTTATAGAAATCTTTCAAATTTATAGAAGCTACTCTAGAGATTGGGAATTATCTCAACTTGGTGACAAACTGCTGGGAAAATGCAGAAAAATGACAAAGCAAAATCTGTAATTTTGGAAAATAATCTTAATGCCGGTATGAATAATGGGCTCGGAGGGGAAAGAGCCAGAGGCAGGGAGACCAGTTGAGAAGGAAGGCAGAAATGCCAGGACCCAGCCTGAAAATGTCAGGCACAGGGCGGCACAGACTGGGAGCTGAGGGACGTGAGACCCAAATGCTGAGCTCTGTCACTGGGTCACCACTTTAGCACTGGGGCTGATGGGACAGGATGGTTGACAGGCCAAGGGGCAGGAAGGCCTGATGCCCAGTTTCTTCTCTCTATTCTCCTCTTATACATTCTCTGAACAGAACAATTCCCCAGGTCCTTCAAAAACCTGGGTTTTTTGTTTGTTTGTTTATCGGTACCGGGGATCGAACTCACGACTGACTGCTTTCGAGGCTATGGCTTATACTGCTGAGCTAAATCCCCAGCCGCCCAAAATCTGGTTTTTTTAATTAAAGGAAAGAACAAAGTTCAGCAAGTTCATGGTCCTCATTCTCAAGAGTAGGAGTCTTCCTGTGAGTAGCTTTCTTCTTTATATTCAGGGAATTACTATTCCTTCAAAATTCTGCTGACACCCACCTGCTGTCTACAGGTGTCTTTGGCACTTACAGCCCCAGATCACGTCCCCTGGGTATTCCTCTGTCAGTATTTAGAGAACTGTTCCACGTGGTCGGTCCTGTTGCTTTACCCATGTGTCCCCATCACCACCTTTCCAAGCTAAACCTTTGAAATTCCCATTAATCTGCCAGCGCTTTAAAAAGATAATCTCTGCTAGACATTGTGATGGATACACAATCCCAGCACTCAAGAGCCTGAGGCAGGAGGATTGCCCGGAGTTCAAGGTCAACCTGGGCTACCTGAATCCAAGGCCAGCCTGAACTACATAGTGAGACCCTGTTTCAAGAAAACAAACACCAAAATAAAACAAATGACAAAAAAGAAAAATCTCCTGTGATGATTCAAGTTAACAAACACCAGGAATGACCTGACTATCTCCCAGAAGATTTCGAAAGACAGAAACATTGACCTTGTCCCCTGAACTAACACTTGTACAGGCGATGTTTGATAGTTCACAGAATGAATGAATATGGAAGGTCAAATTCATGAAATGTTCCGTAGTAATGATGAGACTGATACTTACAGGATGCTGCAAAGCCCTGCCCCCAGCAGAGTGCCTCGGATCCAGCTGTCCGGCATCAGGAGGGCCACAGGTCTGAAGATCCACACCTAAGTGGTCAGATCCAGCCTGCAGGGCCACAGCACAAGGCTGGGAGCTGCGCTGTGAGCACTGCTCCTGGACGTTCTCCCAGAGGACCCTCTAAGCAAGGCAGGATGGAAGATGGAAAGGAGTTTGTCACTGTCATCTGGGAACTTCTCCCTGAGGCTAGTTCCTCTCCTCAGCCTCCCTTTTCCTCTGGGAATCCTGGGTCTTAGCCAGCCTACAGGAAGAAGGATCTGGCTAGTTGATACCCTTAAGGTAGGCACTGGAAGTTGCCATCCTAAATCTCCCTGGAGAGTGCTTTTTTCAAGTGCAGCAAGATTAATGGCCATCTCAGGTGCTGCTGAAAGAGAAAATTCAGGCCTCACTATGTCCCCTGCCATGAAGGAGGCAAGCTTGAGAGTCCTCCAAGCTCCCCGTGAGCCAGATATCCAGGCAAGGAAGCCCAGACCTTGTGTCTAAACTGCAAACAGAATGACAAGACCTAGAATTGGTATAGCACTCAGAATTCTGCCGGAGAGCAGTGTGGCTGAACCAAAAGCAGTAATTCTGTTTGGATCAGACTCTACTTTCTTGTCCCCCTGCAGCCATTAAAGGTTCAGGTTAAATTCTGTACATCTGAAGCAAAGGAAGCAGGGTGAGGGCAGGTGGAGAGAGGGAAGGGGAGGAAAGAGCCCTTCCTGACCACAGATGCATGTCAGGGTTGGGCCAGGGGCTCTGCTGAAAGCCGTGTAAGTAGTTGCATTCCTCTCTAAGCACAGCGACACAAGGAAACTCCTCCTGAGGCTGCTGCCCAATCTCCTCCCCCACCGCACCCCGTATCCCAGTCCAACTCCCACTCCAGGACAGGCATCTGCCTCAGCAGGAGATCCACGGGCAAGTCTAGACTTTAGGATTGTCACACTCCTGGGGCATGACGTGTGGAGGGTATCATCAGGCAAACAAGCTGCTCTTCCTGCCTGGCAGCCTTAAGTCATGTGGAAGCATTCGGGGTGGTGGCCCAGCACGTACCTGTGAGGAGGTACAAAACCTGGTGTAAAAAACCACTCAGAGGGGAAGCTGAGAAGTCAGCCAGAATGAAGGTGCCAAATGGGTCAACCTATTCTCTCCAGGATAAAGCCTGGAAGTCTCCCGAATTTTTTTCTCCATCCAGCTGCCTCCTCTGATTCTAGTCTCGAAGGCCAGATTCTTTGTGCCTTGGATGTAAATTTTAACTGGCAGCATTACTGGACTAGAGCCTCAGTATGGTCATTTGAATTTTCAGTGGGAAACTTTGCTGCATCTCCAGGTTGCATGCCTCCTATTCCATTCAGATTTGGGAAGGCTGTCCTCACCTCTACCTCTCCAGACCTAGCTGTAGAATTTCCCTGCCCTGACACAAGGCCCTTGCTGTCTCCAGCCCCGGAGTACTGTGTCCACCCAAAGCCCCCCAGGAGACTGTCTCAGCATAGGATTTTGGATAAATCCCAGGTCTCACCTATGATTCCTCCCTTTTCTAGATACGACCCAACCAAAAAAACAAAGAGGGAGCCTCAGCACTTGCCCTAAGTGCCTCCTTCAGGATGGATTTGACAAGCAATAACCCTAAGCAACCCAAAGCACACACTTTGCTGGGCATTTGGAACACACAATGATCCAGACCAGAAAGAAAACAGTAAATATAAACCTATTTCTCTGTTGGGAATGGAGAACTGACTACAATGCCATGTTGCCCCTTGGAGATGGGTTTAACCAAAAGCTCCCCAGAGGTTTCCATTCTCAGATTTCTCCAGGCCTCACTGCAGTGTCTTCACTGCAATTGGATGTTGCCCCCATGACAATGGGGCTAAACTTCGTTCCTCCTGGCACAAATATGCACCTCTGAGCCTGGGAGAGGGGTGCAAAGGGAGGACCTAGGCAGCAGGGAAATCCAAGCCCCACACTAATCACTGTCTCTTGGTTTGCTCCTCTGCCCAAAGCCTACACTTGCAGACTTTGTAAGCTGCCCTTTCCCTGCAGAAGGAGTCAAGAATAGCAACTGTGCTGAAACCTGCCTGAGAGTCTGGATTCTCTTCTCAGGGTTTCCAAGTCAGTGCAGCTGAGGCTCTTCTGCTTCTGTGCCTTTAAGAGAGGGACGCAGGCCGCTGAGCTCATCTTTCGCTGAGCTGAGCTTGCCGAGCTCTGAGCTTGCTGTGGAGGAGGTGTGGTCTCCGCTTCTTAATGTTTTTCTTACGCTACCAGAATCAGAAGGCAGAGGAATTATTTCAGAATAGCTCACTTTGCCTCTACCTGGGAGAACGAAAAAGGTTGAACAAGCACCCAAGCCTTAAAGAGTCATTCTATTCAGAGCAAGAATCATAAATAGGCATTTTCCTTTAGAGCTGGAAGCAATCCTCAGTCTTGTGCCCTGGCATGGGGCACTGTCCTGGGCAGTTCCAGACACCAAGGGCAGCCATCCAGCGACGGGATCTGAGCGACAATTGCTCTCCGCTGCTCTTCACAGCAACTAGTTTGCAGTAGTGAAGGTTTCTCCTTCTAAGACCTTGATCTTGAACTTAGATATAAATCTCACTTTTGCACCTGTTAGCACTGTGATCTTAGACAAGATGCTTAATTTTCTGAGACTCAGTTTCTTCAGTTGTAAAATTAAGTTAATAGTAGTTCATACTTCGTAGAATTGATGTAACAAACATTTCAGAAAGCAAATGTAGGTGGCGACCAACAAATGGCTAACCCATGTGCTCTGGGGCTGGGGTGGGAAGCCAGTCACATCCCTTTGACAATCATTGTCTACTGACAAATTCTGCCTATTTAAATCCCCCACTCTTTCCCTTTTACATCATTCTTTCTTTTTTTTTTTTTTTTTTTTGGTCTTTTTCCTTTTTATCGGTACCGGGAATCGAACTCACGACTGCCTGCTTGCAAGGCAGGCGCTTATGCCACTGAGCTATTTAGCTGGAGCTCATAGATTAAGATCCAGAGGTCAAGAGATTTTGTGCATAACAGATAGTGAATAAATATTGTGGATGTATGTATGGATATTTTTCAACTCACTAGTTGATTATGTTCTGATAGTTTATGGGTATCAGCACCCAGGAAATATATAATCCATATAAATGCCAAATATATAAGAGACATGAGTTTAATGTCTACTAATATTCCCCTTACCTGCTGCCTGATCCTCAAGGGATATTAAATCCAGTCTTTAGATCTTGCTGCTCGGCATGACTGGATTAGATTACATATGAGAATTTTCCAAAGCAAAACAGATACATCATACCAATTTGCCTCTCAATTTCTGTTCCTCTCAAATAGCTTTCAAGTTGCAAATTCCCTCAGCAATAATCACATACAAGGCAAAGAAATTAAGAACTTTAGCTGAGCAGATATTAAATGAGTCTCTGGGATGTAGTAAAAGACATATTCAAGGGTAGATTCTTCCCCTGGATTTCCTCCTGACTCCCAGCCACAGGCTCTGAGCCGAACATGCCCTCACATGGAGGTTCCTCTTGGATAAGAGAGAAGACGCGTTTAAATCTGGTTACAAACTGCTGCTCAGTACTTCAGGTGCCATTATAATATGGGTCAGACCCCATCCCCAGGCACAGTGGTGTATAGAAGGCCTTGCTCCTAATAACAACAGAAACCTAAAATGCACAGTTTGTAAGGCTCAGAGCCCCTCAGTAATAAAAGTCTGCAAATAACCCTGGAAGTTAGCTTTATTCTGTTTCATCAGCATTCCAGGGAACGTGTGCTGAGATTCTCCCGTCTGATTTCTTAGGAATCGTAGTGATAGTGAGAGCGTGGGGAAGGCAGGTGGCAATGAGTACAATTGGGCTATTATAGGCTGGGGTGGTTTATTTGAAAGAAGGGTCAGCTTGAAGTGGCAGCAAAGGTTCAGCCTGGCTTATGATAGCTCTCAGGGAGTCAGGGCTGCAGACCTTGAGCCCAGAGTGGGGATTTCTCTATACTTATTTTGCTGTAACCCAAGAGAAAGCTCCTGGAGGCCTTGGGCTGAGTCTGTTGGAGAGGAGGGGCTCCAAGGCCTCAGTGGGACATCCTCTGTCTCCTGAGGGAGGAATTGTCCCCTGGTAAGGTTCCAGAAGCTGTGGAGGAGGCTTTGCATGAGCCGTGGACTTGGCCAGCTGGTTAACTTCCCAGAGTCATTTCCTCAGGGAAACCCTGCCCAGCTGACCCACCCAGCTTGGAGGCTCAGGTCACTAGGAAGCTCAGTTTCCCTCCAGATAGCTGGTTTTCAGTCCCCACAAGGAAGGATATGTCTGGAAGGTGTCTTCAGGCAGGGGGAGAAGGAGAAAACTTATAAGAAGAGGTGGAAACATCTCCAGTGATAACCGAGGCCTTTGGACACCTCTTCCACCCGCTCATGGCCACCTTTCCGGTGAGGCTTTCCGGGGAGTGAACTTACACACACACACACACACACACACACACACACACACACGATCTTATCATCTTTTTTTCCCCTGCACTGCAAGGTTCAGAAAGGTGGAGATTTTTTTCTGGCTCATTCATCATGTTTCAATCTCTACATGTGATACACAGTAAGGGTGCAGTCACCTGTTTTTAGAATCGATGCCAAGCATTTTGCATGGGTAACAGCTCCCAGAGCTCCTGCAAGTGAGTGTTGGCCTCTGAGGGAGCCCACATGTCCTCCCCAGGAAGGGGTGGAGCCCTCCCTGCAGGCCCCAGAAAGGGTTCTGCTCACAGAGATGCTCAGACAGCTGCTGGTTAAGGTCTTACCAAATGCTACCCATTTGCTTTTCTTCTGCTTCTGTCTTAGGCCCAAATGTTTAAGTCAGCCCTGCTCTCTTCCCTCTGTTGGTCTCACTTCTGTCAAGAAGTCTGCAGAAAGAAGTTGGTTTTACCCTGCAGCATCGTCTCCCTGGAAAAAAGCCCTGCACCACCCCGCCCTCTTCCTTTTTTTTTTTTTTTTTTTTTTTTGGTAGTACTAGGGGTAGAACCTAGCTAGGGTCCTGACACTGAGTTACAGCCTCCATCCCTTTTTTATTTTTTATTTTGAGTCAGGGTCTTAGTAAGACCCCCAGGCTGGGTTCGAACTTGTAATCTTCCTGTCTCAGCCTCCCAGAGTTGCAGGAATTACAGGTGTGTGCCACTATGCCTGGCACAACCCTTTTTCTAGCAGCTCAAGGCTGAAAGGGTACAAATGTATCTGCACAACTCTTGGGTGGATAACAGAAACCAGAACTTGCTCACTGAAGTAGGAGACAGGATTATTGCAGAGTTAGGCAGTTCACAGGACCTCTGAGAGGGCCCCAGAAACAGGCCTAGCCAGAAGGCTGGTAGAATAATGGCCTAAATTACACCACAGATGTGGCCCTGGAGAGGCGACATGTTCACCACTGTCAGCTTCAGATACTGTGATCGGTCCCATCAGCATCCCAGAGTGAGGCACTGAGTGCTACCATGGGAACATCATCCACGCCACCATGGGAAACGGGTGTGGCTGCCACCAGCCCCACTGAATCAAGTTGCGCAGTTGGTACCCACCCTTTCTGTAACCAGCTGCAGAATCCAGCTGGCGTGCCTGGCTCCAGTGCTGGCTCCCTGGCCACCAGGGAAGCCGGGAAAGCCAGTGTCCATCTTCTCCCCTGGCAAATGAGTCCTCCGGGGTGGGGTGAGCCACTGGCCAAATGCAGAACTGTCAGCAAAGCATGACAAATGTCCGCCTCATAGACAGCCTGGGATGTCTTGGCCAAATACCCTCTACTGGTACCTTGCTCTGATATTCTTTTATTCATTCATTTCCAACAGCTTTACCGAGACATAATTCACATACCATAGAATTTATTCATTCTAAGTGTACCATTCAGTGATTTTTAGTATGTTTGGAGTTGTACAACCACCGCTACCACAATCAATTTTAGAATGTTTTCATAATCCTAAAAAATAAATTCCATTCCCTGTGGCCACCACCATGCTATTCCCCTGTTCCTCCCAACCCTAGCTAACCGTTTGCTTTCCTGTTCTTCAGTATCTACATCCTCGTGTACATTTCCGTTTCAGCCTCATCTTACCTGTAATAAATTCCTTCTGGGGCCAGAACCCTGTTCTTGCTCGTCCGCAACCCCTCAACCCACTGAATAAAGCAAGGAGGGATGCCAGAGGTCTACGGCAGACACTGCTGGTTATGCTCCCACCAACCTCCCTTGTTAACACAACCAGATTTTAATGACCGTGGACTGGCCCTTGGGGGTTAATAGTGATTGGTCTAAACTAGCCATGATAATCCTATTACCCGCTGTGAATGTTTGTGTACCAGTAGGCAAGTGACCCATTTCTGGCTAATATTAAATGAGAAGTTTGCCCAGGACCTTTGGGAAAGATTTTCCTCTCTGTTAAGGGGTCTGGGAGAATATAGACTTTTCTCCTTGCTTGAAAGTAGGTTCTGTGAGCTCAAGATGACTGCCACACCCACCTGTCCAGTTGGGAACTTTGAGGTAAGACCTGTCCGCCAGGGCACAGATGTGTGTTTATGCTCCACTGAACTGCTTCTCATGAATTCTGGTCCTTCTCTCTACCTACCCATGAGTTCCAGCACCGATTCTCCCTGGCCTTGGGTCTCTGGCCTCTAGTACACATCTCCTTCAGGTTTCCGTCATCCTGATTTCCTGACGGCCTTGGGGTTCCCTAATGCTGCACACCCCTCTGCCTTCACCCACCTGGTTTCATCCCTGTTTGCCTCCCAGCCTTCATGCCTTGCTCTCCTAAAACTCTTCTCAAGGAATCTTGCTTCTCGGTGAGCAAAACTTGGACTAATTTGCTGCCTTAAAAATGCACTTGAGGAAGAAATAGGCAAAGTATTATTTATGCTCAAGAGGGTAACTCTTATATAAAAAAATACAAATGGGTACAAAAGCACATTTAAAAATTCAGCCCTGCCAGCTTTTAAACAATGTTTTTACCAGTCAAGTTAAAAGTTATTAAATATCTCATAAGTTTCAGGCATTAAGAGAAGCACAGATAACTCATTTTTTTTTCC